AAGAAATTTAAGAGGAGGTACAAAGATTTTCCGTATACCTCCTTCCCTATATGTGCACAGCCTCCCCGCATTATCAACATCCCTCACCAGATTGCTATGTTTGTTATAACTTCTATAACTACACTGATATACTATAGTCAAAGTCTGCAGTTGACATTAGAGTCCACAACACACAAATTGGTGTTGTACACTCTGTGGATTTGGACAAATGTATAATAACATGTAGGCATCATCATAGTATCATGCAGAGTATTTTCATTGCCCTAGAATTCTTCTGTGTTCTACCTATTTATTTCTTCCTGTTCCCAGTCCCTGGCAACCATTGATCCTTTTACTGTACCCATAGTTTTGCTTTTTTCAGAATGTCATATAGTTGGGATCATACAATATGCAGTCTTCTGAGCCTGGCTTCTTTAATTTAGTGATATGCATTTAAGGTTCCTCCGTGTCTTTCATGTCTTGATAACTCATTTCTTTTTAGCGTGGAATAATATTCTATTGTCTGGATGTTTATTTATCCATTTACCTATTGAAGGACAATCAGTCAGTCACCTGGCCACACCGTTGGTGTTTTCTTCTGACCATGCTTTCTCATTTTTTACAATATGGATAGATTGGGAATTTTCCAGATTTTCAATTTCTGCTTCCCTTTTCCAGAACAATTCTGTCTTTAAGTAATCTCTTTTTTCACATTGTACCATAAGCAGTCAGAAGGAGCCAGGTTGCACCTTCAACATTTTGCTTAGAAATATCTTCGGCTAAATACCTAATTTCATCACTTGCAAAGTTCTACCTGCCACAAAAAACTGGAGCGTGAACACAATTCAGCAAAGTTCTTTGCTGCTTTATAACAAGGATTGCCTTTCCTCCAGTTTCCAACCACATGTTCCTTATTTGCATCTGAGACCTCATCACAGTGGCCTTTCCTGTCCATGTTTCTAAACATTTTGTTCAGCATTCCCTAGGTATTCTCTATGAAGATAGAGACTTTCTCTATAGCTCTCCTCTTTTCTCTCTGAGCTCTCAGCGGCTCAGAATAGGCTCTTCACAGCTGTGTAGACTTTCTCTAGCATGTACCTGAGATCTTTCCCAGCCTCTACCCATTGCCTGGTTCTAAATTACTTGAACGTTTTTAGGTGTTTGTTACAGCAGCACCCCACTTCTCAGTACCAATTTCTTAATCCTCAGGCTGCTATTACAGAATACGGTAGTCTAGGTGGCTTAAACAACAGACATTTATTTCTCATGGTGCTCCAGGCTGGGAAATCCAGGACCCCAGCAGAGGCAGATTTGGTGTCTGGTGAGGGCCTACTTTGTGATTCACAGATGGCCATGTTCTTGCTTCTGCTAATCTTAAAAATAAACTTGGCCATTATTTTTAAAGCGAAAATAGGTTTATTTGGGAATAACAGATAACTGCGACTCAGGACATACAAGCTATGGCAAAAGGAAAGCAAGTCCAAACAAAGAGGAGGAGGAATGTTATCTTATGGAGATGAAGGAGGAAGTTGGGAGGATTTGTTTTGAATGAAAGACCATCAGCGGAAAGCAAGAGCTCAGGGTGATGGTTTCTCATTTGCTGAGCTGCAGGGGCAGTTGATTTCATGTAGAGGATTCAGTGGACACGTGGCCTTTGAACAACATGGGTTTGAACTGCACCGGTTCATTTATACTTGGAAATTTTTCAATAAGTACAGTGAAGTACTATAAATGTATTTTCTCTTCCTTATGACTTTCTTAACATTTTCTTTTCTCTAACTTTCTTTACTAGAAGAATATGGGTATATAATACCTCTAAGATTCAAAATATGTTAGCTGACTATTGATGGTGTTGGTAAGGCTTATGGTCAACAGTAGGCTATCAGTAGTTAAGTTTTGGGGAGTCAAAAGTTATACATGGATTTTCAACTGTGTTTCGGGGCATTGGTGTGGTTCAGGGGTCAAATGTACATCTTTTCCTGTGGGGTCTGTAATCGATCCTTCTTTCCTATTGATGATTCTTCTGTTGGGGTCCGTAACTGACAGTTCTTCTTGTAATTGACACCGAGTGGTATGACTTTTCCTTCTAGCCTCCTGACTTCAATTTAGTGAGAGTTCCCTTTATTAATTACCGTACTCATAATACCATCATACTGAGATTAGGGTTTTAACATGTGAAACTTGGGCGGACATAATTATTTAGTCTTCAGCCAATAGTATTGTTTTAAGTTTTTACTTAAAATGTATTTATTAAATATACACTGTAGCAATAGTAACAGGGGACAAATAAGTATTTCAAGAGCTCAGTTTTACCTTCATCCTTACAAATCTATTTGGTGACCTTTAATTGTGTTTGGTGGCTCAGCTACTAATCAGTCTTCATTTTCCTATGATCATTAACTAGTTCTCTGTGCTCGGAATTTTGCAAATTGTATATTGATAAAGAAATATTTCATGGTATAGTTAAGGCTTAAGGAAGAAACACTTCTGCATTAATTAAAAGGAAATGAGTATCTCCCAAAACGTAAACTTGCTGAATATCATGTCACTAATCTAAAATTTTTGAAATTCTTTTTTCACATTATTCTTGGTAACACACATTTTTACTTCACATTATTTACCTACTCCCCGACTTAGTTTTTCCCTGCAAAACAAAACAAAACAAAGCAAAACAAAGCACCCAAGCAACGTGAGTACTTTCACGCTGTCAACTACGCTGTTGAGACATCTCTGCTCAAAATCCTTTGCCCCTCTCTCACAGGTCCACTGCAAATTCCCTTTTTGTGGCTTGAGAAACACTAATGCATTATTTATAACACTAACTTTGCTTTTACCCTGTGAACTGGGAAAATAATCATTTAAGTAGTTCATGTGTTATCTTTTGAGTAGCATTCATTACCAAAGCAAGGAAAAATGTAAATAGAATAAACCCCATTACAGTGTTTTGCTTGAGATTCATTTTAGCCACAATCCCATTACATGGGAGCAGTTATCTGAGAGATTCATTACATTTTACAACCACTTATTCATTGCCTGACACTCTTTAGATATCAGGTTAGGCCTGGTAGGTAGAATAAAAAGAAAACCTACAAACTACCAGCTTGGGTCTCCCAGCACCCCACTGCAGGACTTTGAGCAATGACGGGAATGCTGTCTATCTGTGCTGATGTGGCAGCTACCAGCCGCACGTAGCTATGGAATGCTTGACTTGTAGCCAGTGCGTCTGTCGAGCTGAACTGTTACTTTAATTTTTCCTAATAGCATCTCTATTGAGATATAATTCACATATCCTATAATCCGGCTATTTGAAGTGGACAGTTCGGTGATTTTTGGTGTATTCACAGAGTTGTTCCACCATTACCACATTTGTGGAAACTTTTCATCACGCCCACAAGAAACCAAGTACTCAGTGGTAGTTACTCCCCAAATTCTCCCAATGTTCTCAGCCATGGGTGACCGCTAGGCTTTCTGTCTCTGTGGATTTGCCTATTTTGGACATTTCATACAAATGCAATCACAATACGTGGTCTTTTGTGAATGGCTAATTTAATTTAATTTTAATTATATTCAATAGCCACATGTGCATAGTGGCTACCATTAGAAGCAAGTATAGTGGAAGACCCCATGCAGATCCTTAAGGAATGCTGAAGGCTAAGAAGAAAATCATGAAAAGGGGGCATGTGGAATACAGGTCAGAGAGATTGGAGATGAACCCAGTTGGAGCCTAGAAATAAGATAGATTCCTGGAGGAAGGGATGGTTAACAGTACCAAATAATACAGCGGGGTCAAGAAGGTATAGTGTCAGTGTAGTGATGGAGTAAGAATCCTGATGACAAAGGGCATCAGAATATGGTATTGGTGAAGAAGTATAGGCAGGTAGAAATTTTGTATCTTTTAGAGATGGAGAGAAGGAAGAAAATTTCAAGATAGTTTGAGAAGCATGTCAGGACTGATGGAAATTTTGTTTTCCTGCTGTTAATATTTTTAGTGTAGGCCTGAGCCTAATTGTAGGCAGAGAAAAAGGACTCAGTGGGAATGAAGAGATTAAAGATGACAGCAAGGTTCTGAAGGATGTGAGTGAAGGTGGGACCAGGGTTAGTGTAGGAGCAAGCCCTGGCAAGGAAGATAGAGGTCATCTTTCTCAGAGGCAGCAGTAAGTGAAGAAAAACTAGGTGAAAATACAGAACAATTTTTATGTAAAAAGGAAGGAAACTAAAGAAACTCATTTACTTAAGGAAAAATGGGGACGAGGCCTTTTGAGGGTAAAGGTTGGTTCCTCCAGCCAGCACCGTGATCAAATGTGGAGAAGGGAGTTCTAGGGCTCTGGGAGGTGGGAGTATCAATTATTTATATTCTTTTTGCTGCTCTAAGGAATATGTCTCCTAGAAGCGACAAACATTTTTCAGGTACATAAAACCACATGAGGTACACAGATCCACATGTGCCAATTTTCACTTACAGAAGAGTGATGATGTCCAAGAGTTTACATTTGAGATCTTCAAAGATGAAATCTATTAGCTTATGTACCTCCCTCCCTCCCTCCCTCCTTCCTTCCTTCCTTCCTTCCTTCCTTTCTTCCCTCCATTCTTCTTACACTTTGTAGAAAGCTATGTACCCTCTTGCTCTTTGCCCTTCAAGGAAAAATGGAAACAAACAAAGCACAAAACTTTGGAATAGCCAAACAATCCATACAGTAATGAATATAGAATTTTGTGTTATGTATTACAACAAAACTATTTTAGTTTAGTTTACTTTAGAATTTTCTTTATTTTTCTAAGTTCCCTACCCCCACCCATGTTACAACAGTTAGTGGAAGAGCTGGAGAGTGCTTTGAAAATGCCAAATAACTATAGCTATGCATATATAAAAGCAAAATATACTCATTAATTGATATGGTTTTTATTAATAATGTTGATTCAGAGCATGCTTTCTGTGTAGAAGTTTTAGAAATGGAAGCTAACTTCTGTGGTATTTTCAATATATAAAATTATATATTTATGTATTCATTTATTTATTTTAGGCTTTTAAAACCAAGGATGGATATCTTGTGGTTGGAGCAGGAAACAATCAGCAGTTTGCTACTGTGTGCAAGGTAATCAGTAATCAGTGGGATGGGCCAATGATCTATGCAATGACTTGTTTTGTCCAGAGCCAGGAAAGTTCAGTTTCACCTAGAACACTGTCCTTCCGTCTATAGCTAGCTCGAGACCCCTACTTTCTCCCCTACCCTGTGCCATTTTTATACTCCAAATGCTAAGGACGTGGTCTGAATTAGCATACTAACTGTATTTTTTTTTTTTTTTGAGGTATCTGGCTGTATTTTTAAATGAACCATAGTGTATAATACCAACATGACCTTGACTCTTAGTCCAATGAGGAAAAGGAAAGAAAAAGAATTCATTTTAAAGGCATTTTTAACATCAGGGTATTTTTTCTTTTTGCTTTCCCTTTTTTTTTCTTTTCTTTGTTAACAACGTGAGACCTAATTAAGCCCAAATACAATGTAATACCAAATTATTGTTTTAGCCACTAGAAAACTAAACATTTTTTTTTCAAATTAGCCTTTGTTTAATAAGTACCTTTCTGTAGAGTTCATGTTTTAAGTTAAGTTTTAGCAGTTAAGATTGTATTAAAAATGTTGTTCCTCAACAAGATTTTTAAAAAAGGCCTTGGAGTCATTAAGGATAATTTTATGTTGAAGATTTTAAGTTTCTGGCATCACTTGGATATTTTTTTATTTGATGTTTTTACTACTAACCTAGATTTTTTTTTTTTTAAATTTAAGTCTTTAGGTTCCTGTTCACTTTTTCCAGTTCTAACCCCAGAAATATAATCTAGCTTTAAAAATCTATATTTAAGTTTTCGTTTTAATTTCTCTTACAGGTAGGGAGAAGTCTTATCTGTTGAGGATGTTTTTCTGATGGAGAGTTTATTTTCTTGTACTAATTGATCATAGATAACCACTCACTGCGAGCTTTCAGGTTCATTAAGGATGCATGTGAATTCCTTAGGGGAACCTTCTTTATTGTCATTAACTTCTTATGTACAAAAATTATTTATCACTGTGGCTCTTTTGTGCGAGAGGTTAATGAGCACAGCGGAAAACCACAGCAAAGGGGTGGGAAGTACCGCGGAGAAGGTGACAAATGGAGACAGTTCCTATTGCAGGAAAGGCTGGAACATCTGAGGTGGGAAAGAGGGGAGCTTTCATAACGGTGACTCTGAGTAAGCGGAGAGAAAATGGATTCAAACATTTGATCTAGGATCAAAGAATCTTTATTATGAACGGTCAATGTTAAAAATATGAAACATACAGAAGCCGTTGCCTGTGAAGTCATTTGCGTACTCTAGCTGCAAAGATGTAAAAGCCAGTTCATTGCTATAAATGAGTACAGATTTTCTTCCTGGGCCATATGTTTTGGAGTTTTCTCTCTCCAGAAAGTGGGGTGGGGGGGGGTAGAAATTACTGGTTGACATATTCTTCACTGTTGAAAATAACTGTACTGAGTTCTTTTTATTTTTGATTCATTACTGCTGATCAGTTTGAAACTTTTGAACTTCCTCATAAATATCCATAAGAACGTTTTTTGAAAAAGATTTTTGTTTCAAAGCAGAATATTTGCCATAAGTTTGAGTACTAAAATATGACTTATTGTGATGGTGTGTTATGATACATTTGTTTAAAAGGAGACCATCAGAGGGCCTTTGAGAATGGCATACTTGACCTTGCTTTTCCATATGTGAGTTATGAATGATAATCCGTGTTATGAGCCCTTAAGTCAATGTCTATCAAATTCTTTGAGATACTCAAGAAAAGTTTTATGAGTAGAGGATTTTAATGTTATTTCCATCACTTCCTAGGCATCTTGAGCAAACCTTGCAAACTGATTGACTTTATATATCCTTTCATGTAAACTTGCCCTAAAAACCTTATAACCTAAGAAAAATGGCCTGTTTCCTTTTTCCATATATAGTGGGTTTCTCCTAAGTATTTTTTGTTCAGATTTATCTATTACTGAGGGGCTTGCCATTCAAACTGGCCTTGTATAAGATGAGGTCCCCAGTTTTTTATAGTAAGCCCATCAATGGTTCTTTTGCCAAGTAAATAGTGAAAGATAGGGCAGCTCTATCTCCTAGGGAGAAATATAGTGGTAGTGTCTGTGATGAATGCGTAGAATTTACTTAGGCCTATTCTCTTTCCAAAATGGAATTTGATATACTGGCTGACTAATGCTTCTTGGGGATGGGTCCTTTTAAGGAGCTCTTATTGTCAGGAATTAGAGTGAGAACAAGAGCAGTGGGTTCAAGGCTTGGCGTTCAGAAAATCTTTCTGCATATAAAGTGAACCTTGGCTTAGAACAAATCCTATTTTATGTCTCTTAACATGATACAGAAGAGTAGGGAACATGAGCATATGTAAGCTATTTTAAGCTGATTGATGCCAATACTAATGGGTATTCCTATTTGAAGTACATTGACATCCTTTTAAAATCATTTAGACTGAAAGTTTCTTGTATTGCGGGGAATGTGCGTTGGTCCTCAACTTTAGCATGCAGAGGGAATCTCCTGGAGCTTCATTCCCCAAAATTTTGACTTAGCATGTCTGAGGTGGGATACAGGAAACTCCAGTTCGAGTAAGCATTGTTGTTGATGCTGGAGTGGGTGGTCTGAGGACGTGATAGCAGACTTCTAAGGCATACCATGAGTCTTGACACTAGTCGGGTGACCTCTGGTGAGACACTTAATCTTGGCCAAGCATCTGTGTTCTCACAGTCAAATGAAGATTATGATATATAACTCTTCTAATATATAACTTTTGGAGTTTTGTAAGAGTTAGATTGGATAAGTAAAATACTCAGCCCAGTCCTGGCTCACAGAATGTGCTTTGTAAATGGCCTCTATAAAAATTAGGAGATAAAAATTGGAGATTCTGGTTCTGGATAAGATGGAGTAAACACACTTCTCTCTGTCTCTTCTACTGAATATAATGATAAAACCAGGATAGAATGTATGGACCGACTCTAAGAGGATGCTGAAAAGTAAGTAGTGGTAGGTAAACTGGGGAAGAACGCCAGAATTTAAAGTACCTCTGAAAAAAAATAAAATACCTCTAGTGCTCCTGGGGGGCTTAGTCAGTTAAGCATCTGTCTTCAGCTCAGGTCATGATCCCAGGGCCCCGGCATCAAGCCCCGCATCAGGCTCCCTGCTCAGCGAGGAGTCTGCTTCTCCCTCTCCCTCTCCCTCTGTGCTCTCCCTTCCTCTCTCTCTCTCTCAAATAAATAAATAAAATCTTAAAAAACAAAAACAAACAAACAAAAAACCTTCCAAACCAGAATTAAGTTTACCAGCTTTCTCTACAATGATTTCCTTACGTGGGTAAGTGGAGCCGAAAACATGGAAATGGGCACTAGGAAACAGAGCTGAGTCCTAGGAGATGCCCTTTGTTCCTGGAGTGAGGAGCACGAAAGTGAGCTCTAATAGCAGAGAGAGTGTGGAAATCCTGCATCTATCCCTCAAAAGAGGGAGGAATCTTTGTGGTTTTTTCCTCTGTCCTCCCACCGCTTGGCCTCCACCCTGGAAGTATGCAGGGAAGTAGGCTAACTATAGGGGAGCCCCAGGGAACTGGAGAGAGCCTGCTGAGAGGGATGAGCTTTGGAAAGTGAGCTTTGAAGGTGTTTGTGAACTTCTGCTCTCAGCCCTAAGCTGATCTGATCCTAACCAGCCCACCAAAGAAGTTGTGAACCAAGTTAACACACAGAATACTGCTCAGGAGGCAGCCTGACGATTAAGTGGGACACATGCAGGACGTACTCAAACAGCATCGCAGGGCCTTTGAGAACTGAACTAACACAAGAACCAAAGCACACGGAAGGTGTGTTGGGGCTTGCGGCCTGGACCTAACCAGATCAGTTGCTTGCTAAAAACAATAACAATAAAATGTTGCTGTAGGATTTAAACAAAACCAAGAGGCCCATAATATAATATTTAAAACATCCAAGATACAATCCAAAATTACTCAGCATATGAAGAACCAGAGCTTGCATGAGAAAAGACAGTCAATAAATGCCGATGCCAAGAGGACACAGATGTTGGAATTAACTTACAAAGACTTTAAAACAGCTATTATAAAAATGCTCCAACAGGCATCACAGACACTGTTGAAATAAATGGGAAAGGAGAAATGTCCAGCAGAGAAAGAGAAGATAGGAAGGAGAACCAACTAGAAACTGGAGAACCGAACAATATGACCACCAAATAAAAAAAAGAAACCCCTCACCAGATGAGCCCAATAACACAACGGAACTAAGCCAAGGAACTTAGAATAGGTAAATAGAAATTATTCAATCTGGAACAACAGAGAGAGAGAGAGAAAAAAAGATGGTCCCCTCTCCCAAGAAATGGAAGAAAGAAAGAACAGATCTTCAGGAGCCTTCAGGATAGTAACAAAAAGTCTAACATTGATATCATTGTAATCCCAGGAGGAGAAGATGAAGAGTACATGCTGAGGAAATATTTGAAGACATAGTTGCTGAAAACTTCCCAAATTTGGTAAAAGATAGAAACCTACAGATTTCACAATTTCAGCAAACCCGGAGGAAAGTAATAGGTTACCTTGTTGGGGGAACATGGCCTCAGCTGACTGCAGACTTTTTTTTTTTTAATAAATTTTTTTTAAGATTTTATTTATTTATTTGACAGACAGAGATCACAAGTAGACAGAGAGGCAGGCAGAGAGAGAGGAAGGAAAGCAGGCTCCCTGCCGAGCAGAGAGCCCAACGTGAGGCTCCATCCCAGGACCCTGGGACCATGACCTGAGCCGAAGGCAGCGGCTTAACCCACTGAGCCACCCAGGTGCCCCGACTGCAGACTTTTTATCAGAAACTGGGAGCCCAGAGCCAACTGGCACCAAACGGTCCACCCAGAACTCTACGTCCAGTAGAAACGTTCATAGAAAATGAAGTTTCATTAAAGACATTCTCCCTCTCCTTCCCTTCCGCCCTCTTTCCCGTCCTTCTTCAACAAGCCCACACTTCATTATTTCTTTGGGGGGAAATAGTACCTCGTTGGACTACTTCACATGTATTTGCTGCTCAGTATGTCAGGCACTCTTGCTGACATTGCTTCATTCTGCCCAGGCGATGCTTCCTCAAGCCCGTAAGGGCTGGTTGTGATCACAGCACTGGAAGCAGTCTCTCTAGAAACACTGTGAAAGGCAGCATGGCTGAGGACAGAACCGTAATTACGTTGACCCACTGTTTCAGACCAACTTGCTCAGAGAAAAGAGGTGCGATGAGTCAAATTCAGAGAACAGCATCTGAGGGCCTGGTTACCACTGAGTACAATGACTGAGCAGCTTTTTATCCAGCTTACACTATTTCTGGGTGAGGCCAGATTTGCAGGTTTAACCTGTGATTTGGGGAAGGCACTTGCTTCTTCGGGAAATGACAATTTATCCACTCCTAGAGAGGGGAGGGCGGGTTTCCATTCCCGCACAAGCTTGGCGGCTGCTTCTGAAATCATGAAATCAGCTGTGGTGACACGGAGGTTTTTAGGAAAGGCACTCTATGTGGTGTTGCTTTTTAAAATCTGGGGGAGTAATGCTGTCTTTATTATTCCTCAAGGAAACGAGTAAGTGGAGCCCGCGAAAGAGAAATGACACAGTGGAGATGCTCTCTTTACTCCAGGGAAACTTCTTCACTTCTCTGTCCATTGTGAGATGATTAATGGATTGATTGTATTTAAACTATGGGAAACAAATGAAACCATAAAATGTTTATATTTCAAGCAAATCCATTACTCAAGGTAGTGAAGCTTTCTGTTGGCCCCATGGCCTGCCCCGAGCCCATAAATGCTCCTTCTGACTTTCCAACACAACTGCCAAACACTGCCTCCACACATTCTTTATAAAACTTCTTTTCCATTCCAAATCCACTTGGTACTTTCATTATGGTCTTGTTAAAATTGCAAGATGTCCAAAGGGACTTGCAAGATAGATTTTCCCTTTATTGAGGAGGAGCAAAAGAGGAAGTATATAAAAGCACTTCTATTTGTTATTCCTTCAGGGAGATATAGTAAAGAAAAATAGTGACACTTCTATAGGAAGAATATCTTTTAATTTGACATTGTTTTAATGGCGAACATTTGGGGCAAATGTATATGCTTTTCCTTTATTTTAGCACCTTGTACAACATCCTGGATAGGGCTTCTGGGACGAATAATGTTATTTTATTTACGTGTGGAACAAATAAGTGGATATACCTACAAGACGTATGTTGATTATGGGCTTCATGGAAGTGCGGACATGTAGTTATGATATTGGCTCTCAGAACTAGGTCCGTTCTAGCAGGTTTTGTATCTCTGTACCTACTCTCTCTAGACAAGACTTATTGTGGGGATCTGATAACTTTTGATCTCTGCTCCCATCTGTAGGCACATACCTAGATGTAGCCCAAACTTCTCATAAATGACAAACTCAGTCACAGCATCACCTGCCCTGATTGCATGATCCTTCCATCTCTGTTCCTTTGTTGCTCCATTTGCCTTTGTCTGGAAGTGTAAAGGTCAGCAAAGAATGATCCCGGGGAGCATGTTGGTAAGCCTGGAACACTCACAGGCAGGTACGTGAAAAATTGTGAATTAGGCATTAAAATTATTTTTCCTTTTTAGATCTTGAATTTGCCTGAACTGATTGATGACTCCAAGTATAAAACTAACCACCTTCGTGTACAGAATAGAAAAGAACTTATCAAAATACTGTCTGCACGGTAAGCTTGGATCTACTCTTGGTACATTTAGGAATGAATGTGTCCTTAGCATTTGCCTGATTTGTGTCTGTTTGAGTATTTATGTGTATGCTCTTTTTTGCCTTTTTTAGATTAACTTGTAATTCTCTTCCATTTCGCAGAATGGGTTAGTGGAAAGATATTTAAAGCTATGTTTTCTGTTCTTTATTTGAAAGTACTTTACGTGTCTTAATGAGTACTGACTCATAAGAATGATATCGATAAGAAAATCACAATGGCTTGAAATAGATCTCTATAGCATGAGTAAGTGTTTGGGTTTAGTCTATTGTAAATACTAATAACAACAATACTAATAAAAATAATTTAACATTTTTTTTTAACCTTTAAATGCTCTACATAGACCATCCCATTTAACCCTTACAGTTATCCTGTGAGGTAAATTCTATTCCCATTTTACAGATGAAGAAACTGAGACAAAGAAAGGTTAAGTCGAAAGTTCTCTTGGGAAGTCTGTCATGATGATGTTTTGAAAATGCCAGATTGAGTTATGGCTCACAAGGGATTAATGTTAATCAGTGAGTGTATTTGATTGCCAGATTATTCCATACATGACATGTTATGCTTTTGTTAAAACCTGCATCAAATCTTTCAACTTTCTCTCAGAAAAAGGTGCTAATTCTTTTCTTTAATATTATTTTATTTCATTTTATTTTTGTTTCAGTCTTCCAAAATTCATTGTGACTTTTAATATCCTTTTTTTTCATTTTATTTTACTTCTTTTCAGTGTTCTAGAATTCATTGTCTATGCACCACACCCAGTGCTCCATGTAATATGTGCCCTCCTTAATACCCACCACCAGGCTCACCCATCCCCTACCTCCCTCCCCTCCAAAACCCTCAGTTTGTTTCTCAGAGTCCACAGTCTTTCATGGCTTGTCTCCCCCTCTGATTTCCCCCAACTCACTTCTCCTCTCTATCTCCCAATGTCTTCCGTGTTATTCCTTATGTTCCACAAGTAAGTGAAATCATGTGATAATTGACTTTCTCTGCTTGACTTATTTCACTCAGCATAATCTCCTCCATTCCCGTCCATGTTGATACAAAAGTTGGATATTCATCCTTTCTGACGGAGGCATAATACTCCATTGTATATATGGACCATATCTTCTTTATCCATTTGTCCGTTGAAGGGCATCTTGGTTCTTTCCACAGTTTGGTGACGGTGGCAATTGCTACATTGTGAACATTGGGGTACAGATGGCCCTTTTTTTCACTACATCAGTATCTTTGGGGTAAATACCCAGTAGTGCCATTACAGGGTCATAGGGAAGCTCTATTTTTAATTTCTTAAGGAATCTCCACACTATTTTCCAAAGTGGCTGCACCAACTTGCGTTCCCACCAACAGTATAAGAGGGTTCCCCTTGATCCACAACCTCTCCACCACATGTGGTTTACTGTCTTGTTAACTTTGGCCATTTGGTGTAAGGTGGTATCTCAATGTGGTTTTGATTTGAATCTTCCTGATGGCTAATGATGATGAACATTTTTTCATGTGTCTGTTAGCCATTTGTATGTCTTCTTTGGAGAAGTGTCTGTTCATGTCTTCTGCCCATTTTTTGATGTGATTATTTGTTTTGTGTGTGTTGAGTTTGAGGAGTTCTTTATAGATCTTAGATATCAGCCCTTTGTGGTGTCGTTTGCAAATATATTCTCCCATTCCATGGGTTGCCTCTTTGTCTTGTTGATTGTTTCCTTTGCTGTGCAGAAGCTTTTGATCTTGATGAAGTCCCAAAAGTTCATTTTCACTTTTGTTTCCTTTGCCTTTGGAGACATATCTTGAAAGAAGTTGCTGTGGCCGATGTCAAAGAGGTTACTGCCTATGTTCTCCTCTAGGATTTTGATAGATTCCTGCCTCACGTTGAGGTCTTTTATCCATTTCGAGTTTATCTTTGTGTATGGTATAAGAGAATGGTCGAGTTTCATTCTTCTACGCATAGCTGTCCAATTTTCCCAGCACCATTTATTGAAGTTATTTTTTCCACTGTATATTTTTTCCTGCTTTGTTGAAGATTATTTGACCATAGAGTTGCGGGTCCATATCTGGGCTCTCTACTCTGTTCCACTGGTCTATGTGTCTGTTTTTGTGCTAGTACCATGCTGTCTTGGTGATCACAGCTTTGTAGTAAAGCTTGAAATCAGGTCCCCTCAACTGATGCAGAAAAAGCATTTGACAAGATACAGCATCCATTTCTGATTAAAACAATTGAAAGTATAGGGATAGAGGGAACATTCCTCAACTTCATAAAATCTATCTATGAGAAACCCACAGCAAATATCATCCTCAATGGGGAAAAGCTGAAAGCCTTCCCTTTGAGATCAGGAACACGACAAGGATGCCCACTCTCACTACTCTTGTTCAACATTTATTAGAAGTCCTAGCAACAGCAATCAGACAACAAAAAGAAATAAAAGGTATTCAAATTGGCAAAGAAGAAGTCAAACTCTCTCTCTTCACAGATGACATGATACTTTCTATGGAAAACCCAAGACTCCACCCCTAAACTACTAGAACTCATATAGCAATTCAGTAATGTGGCAGGATACAAAATCAATGTACAGAAATCAGTTGCTTTCTTACACACTAACAATGAAAATATAGAAAGGGAAATTAGAGAATTGGTTCCATTTACTATAGCACCAAGAACTGTAAGATACCTGAGAATAAACCTAACCAAAGAGATAAAGGATCTGTACTCGAGGAACTACAGAACATTAATGAAAGAAATTGAAGAAGACAAAAAAGATAGAAGACCATTCCATGCTCATGGATCGGAATAATAAACATTGTTAAAATGTCTGTACTGCCCAGAGCCATCTATACTTTCAGTGCCATTCTGATCAAAATTCCACAGGCATTTTCCAAAGAGCTGGAGCAAACAATCCTAAAATTTGTATGGAACTAGAAGAGACCCCGAATTGCTAAGGAAATGTTGAAAAAGAAAAAAAAAGGTGCTAATTCTAATCTTTCCTACCTGTTTCACTTTTGTGTATGTCTAAACTTCTCCGTATAGAATAGGCATTGCTTTTTCTTGCAGATCTAAATGTCCACATGAGCTGTTCTTCAGCGTGGAACATTTTTTCCCCATCATCATGCCCATAAATGAAGTACTTTTGTTCCAATATCAGGTCTTGTCTTTTGAAAGAGCCCTTGTCTTTCTCCGTAGTGTGTTTGAAAGTTCTGAGACAATAAAATTCTGCTACTGTAATTTTATTTCTGTCTGCCTGGGTTTGGGGCATCTCTGGGTGGATCAACAACGTTCCTTACCTATTTACCCTTCCCTGGACTGCTTGCATCTCTTCCTTGTGCCCCAGAATCTTTGATCAATGGGGGCTCTCTGTGGGGCTGATGCTCGGAGAACTCGGGATGGGGCTCCCCTGTCCTGGTCGTTGGTGAAGTATCAGTCTGATTCCCCCACAGAGCCTAAGAGCCCTCGATCATTAACCTTTCCCCACATGAGAATTGGCCATTTATTTCTGCTTCTTGCCTCTTTGCCTCTCCAGCAGTTTTTAATCCATTTAATTCACTGATAGGACTTTTTCCTTTCACACCATGGTTATCCAGTTTTAATAATAGGCATTTGTGAGAGCCTTATCAAAAGCTCTTTGATAGTCTAAATAAATCACATCCATGCTGTGAGAAGAGTGGACCCAAGAAAAATCCCAAACCTCGGCAGATACAAGTGTCATCTTGTTCTTTAGATGCTGGCCCTTTTATAACTTCAGGGAACACAAAGTTAAGTTTTTGGTGTCCGAGGCCGTGAAACGTTTATTCCTGGCTAACTTCTGTCCTAGAATTCCGCTGTGGAGAGACTTCTAGTGGCATCCGTAACACATTAACTTCTATTTTCTCTCTTTGGGGTGAATTAAGTAATTTGTTGCCTTTTTCTTTCTCCTGTTCTAGACATAGGAGTGGAAATTTCATCATTTTGGAACCCTTCAGGTTCTTATGTCTTAATTAGGATGTAACAAGGAATAAGGAATTGAATCCCATGGTAGAGACGAGGGGTAGCCTGAAGAGAGGAAAGTTAGAGGGGAAGTCACACTGCCCTGGGTCCTGCTGTTCAAATGCAGACCACAGGGAGCCTGTGCTGCCCAGAAGATGGCTTTCCTGCTCTCCGGTGTCAGCGTGTTGGTGGTTTTTGGTGCTCTCCTGGGGTCTGCGGTTCTTCCCTCTCTGCCAGCTCAAGGGTCTTCTGCCTGGTGGATCCAACAGTGATAAGCAGGGGAGATTAGGATGCGATTCGTTCCCATCTACAACCCTGTCATTCGTTTTCCTGAGCAAACGTCACCGGAATCAGTACCCTTCAGTGCTCGGCATTTAGAATTCAGACGCCTCCGTGAAAGTGCAAACGTGTATCGTTTCACGAGATGATTCCATGTTTTCTATGAAATATTCAAAATGTTTAGTGGCTCTTGATTATTGGATTAAATCTGGTCTTTTTAGTCTGACATCATGGTCTTCCACAGCCCGACATGATCTTTTCTTTCCACCTTTTTCTCAGCCTAAAGGCCCTGCTAGGGCCGCACTCCCATTCTGTGTCTTTTGTTCTCTGTCTGGCAGGCTTCCCAGACTTATTATTATCCTGAACACAGTCGTGCTTCTGGGTCCGTCCTACAGTTTCAAGAAACCATCCTCAGACTTCTCTATTTGGGGTCCCGGCCAGAAGACAACACTTTCAGAAAAGAAGTCCTCCTTGCCCGCTGACTCAGCACCAGCCTACCCTTTATCCAACCCACACAGGATCTGCTTTACCTTCTGCGGGTGGTGCTGTTCCACGTGTGTGGAACACACTGTTCCTTTCACTGGACAGCTGTCTCAGGACCTGTGAATCACAGACACACTGACGTCCAGCTGCAGAAAGGAGGCAGGGAGAAAGGAAGGGGAGGAACCAGCATTTATTAGATGCCTTGACTTACCAGAGGAGCGTTGTTATTCCTGCTTTACTGATGAGTATTCTG